ACTTTTTCCCTGTGCCATTCCACATTAGTACAAAAAAACTTCATTTCTGGACTTTTATGGTTTGATTTCTTTGTATGGATCACTTGGGTTGTTACCAACATCTGGTGAAAATTTCATGTCATTAGCACCTCTAGTAATATATTTACTGAGAAAAATGTTGACGTGTTCAATACTTATTTTACCCGCTGTATGCTTTGCTGAATTTTTTTAAAATCACATTAATTTGTGTTCAGTATGGCTGCAGATAAAAATGTGTGCACAGTATGAGAGAACACTGTAGATTTCCAGATAAAAAAGTGACACCCCCGCTGTCTGGTGTGATGTTGTCGAGTTCATGCTCACTTCTCACCTTTTTTTAAAMATTTTTTTGAAAAAGGTCATGAGGTGGAGACTCTTACTTCCTCTGCAGTGTCGTACAGTTTTAGTAAGAGAAGTACCCAACTAGAAATAAAATTCCACAGAAGTGCAGTTCTGCTCAATAACTCATTTATGTTTCATTCAAATTTGTTTGTTCCAAAAGCTATTGTGTTTGTGACCTTAATTCCTCTTAATTCATTTGCATGGTTTTGCTCATGGCAGCATAAAGCGAAAGCACACAAGAGTAAACTAAAAAGGAGGATTTATTGAAAATACTATAAAAAACAAATCAATTAGACTGTGAAGGTTACTTACAAAGATGATGCCATTAAAAACAAACATCATGCCTTTGAGGAATGCAAAGCACCCCATTTTCCCAGCTGATAGTTTCACCTGTTGAGGTAAAAAAAAAGAGGCAAAAAAGACAATAATTAACACCAGTAAGTATTATCTGAAATGCCTTTTAAAGGCTGAAACTAAGGCTGAAATTTGTTGCTCATTTTTGCTCTTGACCGAAAATCACTATATTGTTTTTGCTCATGTCGGCATTTGTGTGCCTGTTTTTATTTTCTGTCATGTTAGCCAAATATCTCATATCCCCCTAATCAGATGTTACTGAACTCTCTGAACATAATCACTGGATGTACATTTAGATCCTGTTCCTGCATGTTTGACTTGTTTCTTTGCGCTAACACACCTGATTTGAATGAATGGGTGATTATCAGGTTTCTGCAGAACTTGGAAGTGGTAAATTCAATGTCTAAATCGGGTGTGTTGGGAGCAGGGAAACAAGTAAAACATGCAGGGCTGCGGCCCTCAGGATTGCCCACCCCTGATCTAGAACTTATTCACTTTTGGTGTCAAACCATTTCAAGATGGCTGCTACACTTTAGCAAAACTAGCCAACCAGCCCCTTGTTCTATGCTTTGCTTCGTACAGAGGGTCTGGACCCTCAGCCATTGAGAAGCGATTTCTTGCTGGAGGTGTGGACTCTATTGAAGTTTAAAATGACTGGATCTGATTTATCCAATTGCTAATGTTTGGCCATTTAAACTGTGTATWATGCAGTGCACCAGCTCGACCTTGAAGGAGGCTAAACTAAGAAGCTAACTGGAAATTGTGTGTGCTGTATCCTCTACTGGGAAGAAGCGCTGAGCAGGAGGAGACGGCTGTAAATGAGTACTGAAAGATTTGGGGGACTAATTTAATTTTATTTGGAAGCCTTAACAGACTGGCTTCATTCAGTTCCTCCTCTGCCATTGCTATACTGCAAGCCAAATAAAACGGCACAGAAAAATGACGTCGTTCAAACCTCCTCCTTCTGTTCACTCATTGGCCTGGGTAAAATTCTACCAGAGAAATCCTTGTCTATGGGAGAAATCTCAGATGGAGCAGTGAAGGAAACTAGAGTTGAGCGGAACTGTGAAAAAGGGCCAGGCTAGCAAAACACAAAAATAGCTAAAACAGTTTTTAAGTTATTGTGCTAAAAGTTGGGGTGGTAGAAGCTGAGAGTCATTCACAAAACATACTCAGAACACTGCACATGTTTGTTTAAAATGTTGGCATTAATTATCTCATAAACCACAGGGCAGAATTCAGTGAAACTCCCAGAAAGTAATCATTGGTTTGTTTATTCACTTTTGAAGTGAACCCAAGCTGGTGAACAAGCTGGCAGTTAACTGACTTTAGCAAATACAAACATGGCCGTAACCTAGTCAAACTGAGCTTTAACGTGGAAGTAGCTGAGTAGTTGTCAGCTCAGAATTCATCACTGACATTTTTAGAGTTTATATATTTAAATGTTTTAGTCACTAATACAACAAATTTATATGTACCCACACTCGAGCACAAATGGATCACTGACATGACTTACAAAGTTTTAATACACATTCATGCAATGCAAATCAGTGGATATTCATTCTGTGCTGATTCATTTGTTAAAGGTAAATTAGAGACCAGGAAGGACAGACATTTCCCAGCAGCTCTTCTTTCACACTTTGTGAGTTCAATAACTTGTTAACTCTCATGGCTCTACAGCACACATCGCCTGTCGCGGGACACGGATGAAGGGCTTTTAGTGACACATTAAGTGAGAAAAGAAATGATGATTGAGGTAGTTTTGCCTCCATGTTTTGGGTAAACTKCCTCATTCCTCACAAGGACACAGCATACAAATGATGGAACCGAACCCAGGTGGTACGGATTAGGAACACTGGTGTTTTTTTGTTTTGTTTTGTTTCAAAATGCTATACAATACTTCAAATATTAACTTGTAATCTGAGAAGAACCCTAATACTGATGGGATTTTGCATATTAGAAAAACAAGACTTGTGTGTATTCAAATAAAATGTGTGGTCAACCATGACTCAGGTTAAAGGTTAAACTTAGGCCATTATAAAAACAGCTTACTAACACCCCTATAAGTGCAGATTATTTATGGTGTAAATACTAAAGCACTAAAATAGCCTTATTAGTGTTCAGACTTTTTTCCTGCTTCCGTCATGCCTGTCTATTCCCAAAACTCTGGAAAAACCCAAGTAAAAAAAAATTACATTAAAATGTGCAGCTGAGTCAGAGATAATCTTTAACTTTTGGTGGCAAAGTGTAGACAAATTTTGCTTAAAAGGGAGACAAAGGGAAAACATTTCCGCAATAGACATCAATAGAATTTTAGACATCTTGTTTTGAAGCTTTACAGCTCAGACAGACTTCACAATAAAAACATCATTAGAYGTTTAAACAAGTTACAGAAAGTTTGACTTTACAGAACTAAACTATCAATTTGATATATTTTTCAGTTTTTACACTGTCCTAAYTTAGGTTTTAACTTTTTTTGGACAGTATGTTCAGCTTATAACTTTTGATCCATCAAAACTTTCCAGAGTTCTTAAAATCCCTTTTTTTTATCACACAGATTTTAATATTATTTAACAAATACTACATCAAAAAGCAGATATGGTATATCTGTTTTTATTTTACTCCGGGTCTCTTACAGTTTTAGAACTTGCAGTCTTTTACTTAAATCCCTTCAAAGTGTCCATTGTACATGACATAAACTCCTATTGACTTTCATTATACCCCAGTTCAGATTTTTCTACTTAGATTAGAGGATCTTTTTTAACTTATCATACAAAAACAATGTGAACAAATAAAAACGATCCTGTTGGACCACCTTGTGTCATTTCAGGAATGTTTTCAGTACGATTTGTCATTTTCATCGTGACCAATTATGTATACAAGGCTTATTTTCTCATGGTCATTTCTGTCTGCCTGTTTTGTTAAGGATTATGCTAAGGAGTGAAGGGCATAGCTAAATGGTTACCACAGTGACCTGAATGATCCAGTGGTACCCGCTTTAAGATTTGTTTTGAATCTGGTTCTCGTTCACAGTAACCACATGGTTACATTTCGAAATTCCTTTCAAAATGTTGTAGTTCTATTTAGCATCTATTTAAAGGAAAAAGCTCATTTGATAAAACTTTTAACCTTAGTTTTCAACATTAAAAAAGACYTGTTCTGTTTTAGACCATCTTTCCTTTCAGACGCTTGCCTCCAGGAAGAGAAACGGCACTCTTTGTGTGACGCTGCTAAATGAATAAATTGTATTCCCAGTGACAATGACAGAGAGCACAGCTCTGTTGTGTCTAGCAACAGGCTGCTGAGTTCAAACTGCTGTATCCCTTGAGGCTTTTTAATCTTCTTTTTTTTTTAATTCTCAATCCCTGGTAAACAACAGCGTTGAATGGTGCTTCTTTTTAAAATAATTGTAATTAACACATTCCCCCAAATATCCACTTTGTCTAAAAACAAAAAAACAAACAAAAAAAGTACTTCAAACAGGAAGTTGTTGCTCTGTCTTGCTCGATTCTAGTGAAGCTTGTGCTTCTCGAGTTAATCATACATTTGGCAGCCAGGATGCTGTCTGAAAAGAAACGAGCTGTTGCCTTGACTCCCCCCCAAAAAAATCCCACTTTTATTTTAATGTTCAGACACATTTCCGGCTTCTTTGTGGTCAGCAGTTGCTCCCTGACACAGAGGAGTCAGTTTGGTGATGTATTAACAACAATCACATGCATCTCTGACCGGCTGAGAAAAATGGGCCACCGGAAAGATTCCTCTGGACCAAATCACATTTAGAGGCAACATAACACATAATCTTTTTTAAAACTTATACAGAATAGTCTGCTCTGTTCCGAGTTGATCAAAACTGTTTCTGACTTAAAAACACGGATAAATCTCAAAGGATTCTACTGAGGGATTGCATGCAGGTCCCGACAAAGAATCATTGTTGGATGGATCCCTCACAACGTTTGTACTGCTTAACAAAGCTAAAAAAAAAACTAACAAGATGAATAAGTTTGGATGATAATATTGAATCTTTGTTGGCTTACCTAGTACAAGAGCTGTCTGAGGATCTGAGGCTGGTTTGGAGTCTCTGCTGTGATGGAGGCTGCTGTCACTGTGAGCTCACAGGAACACAGAAGTGTATTATTTCTCAGAAAGTCCTCCACAGTCAACCGACTGTCTTCTCGCTTCCCTTATCTTTGGCCCTCTGTAGCRCACAAGAGAGCCTCTCTGGGACCTGTTCAGTAAACTGCTTGTATTTTAGGGCTTCTGACTGGTTATAAGCACCAGAGAGGAAGGTGGGGAGGAGTAGGTGGGACTAAAAGAGCTGAGTAATAACATATCACCATGGATCTGAGTTTAAGCAGCTCCAGAGGGAGGGAGGGACACAGAGAGAGAGAGGAAGGACACCTGTATCATATGAAATGTAGCAGCAGGTACTGTACTGTACGCACACAAAGAGTCAAAACACATGCAAATAAGAAAAATTTGAGCCTCACTGTAAACGCAAAGGCATGTTGTTTAGTGAAGCAGCTGCTGTTTTCAATTAAAAACTAAAGAAATCTGATAAAAGACAATGCACTCAAGAAAATGTTTCCAAGGGGAAAAGTGACACTGCGACAAGCTTAGGAAATGAGCCAGGCTTGTTTCTTATTGATGGTTTTTTTTGTTTAGTAACAAATTGTCAAGTTAACAAATTATGTTGGTCTGTTTACGTGAAAAGAAAAAAAATAGGGTCCTAAATGTCATCACTGTTAAGTTCATCAGTAAACAATGAGGAGGAAGTTGCAGCTTCTTTCAAATATAAAGCTAACTAAAGGCGCTGCACTAATGGCATACTGTTGCTGTAGTTCTGGGTCCATTTTTTTTGATAGTTTGTGTTTTTGCCACTTTTATCATTTTATTATGCTTTTAAAAGTCCAAAGTGTTAAATAAGTTTCTGATTCTAGATGAGTACACATGGATCTTCGTAGTGAATGTGTGATTATTGAAAAAAATATAAATAAATTACAGACAAGCTTTTAGCTGTCCATTTTAGCTCAGTAATGGGTGTTTGGCTTTTGTTTTCACACTGCTGGTCCAGTTGTCACCTGTCGTCCTAAGTTTATCAGGTATTTTTCAGCTCCTGCTTTAGCGACTAAGGTAATATAAGGTGATATGATTGGTCCATATAGACACAAGTTGAGTAACTGAGCAAATGGTCAGCAGCCACAATATTAAAACKTTTTGCTTGCTAAAGTAGAAGCTTCAATATCTATGTAAATTTCATCATCAGTTGCTATTTATCTCTGTGCAGCACAAAATGCTGTAGCAGCAACACACACAAATTTCTGGCATTTTTACATTTTCTATACATTTTTTAGTTTAGTTTATTAATTTCTTTAAAAACAACAACATAAATTCAACAACAAACAACAAAAATACAAATCATAAATTAAATGAAAGGTAGCAGAAGAAGAAAAAATCTTACTCTATCTGCCCCTTTTTCTCATAAATAAAATCAAAAATAATCTACAGTAGACAAAAAAAAAAAAAAAAAAAGAAAAAGAAAAAATAACAAAAGCTTAACTCCTCGAAAAACAATTCATGCATTTACATATTTCCCCAGCAAATTAACCTTTATCATTCTCTTAAATACATATTGATCTGGCATTTTTAATGTCATCTTCCAGATTATTCCATAACTTAATTCTATAAACATTCTAATAATATATTATTTTATAATGTACATTTTTATTCTTTTTTTATTTTTACATAGTCAGGCCTTGCGGAGTGATTTGTTGACTCCTATAACACATTAAAAATTATTATTGTAGCTCTCTTTTTCAAATGTCTCAACTTTGCTGTCTTCCATAGTTACTGTTGTTGGTGGTAAATGTCATGAACTTGTGTCCAGCTATGTGTCAAAAGTTGCATTCTCTTGGAGGTGTGAAAGTAAACAAGAAAGTCCCTTATAATCATATAGTGGGACTAACTGTCCTTTTAACCCTTAAAAAAGGAAAGAAAAACTATAGAACTATCTGAGGTAAAAACAGAAACTTTATTAACTCTCCACATGGATTTCAGACCATACAGAAAACAGCTTCAGAAGGAGTGGAAAGACTGAAGAAACAACGATGGTGTCATTTTGGACATACTACCGAGAAGGAATATGGCAACGCATTCTCACTCCCCCCCGCGTCAACATATTGACGATTGGTCAGGTAGCCGTCTGCGTCCAGGTTCGGACGGGCAGGGTATCCCCTGCGCATCTGTTCTTTACGAGATGAGGCTGAGGAGGACGAGCGCATTGTTCCATTTTTTTTACAAGAGTAGGAAATGCGCAAAACTAACCATCCCCTAAACGTAACTTTTATTAGCCCTATACAGCCTATCCCAGACCCCAGTACCAAAAATTAACCATTAACACTGATCCCTCATATTAACCACTTTTGAAAATTTAGAGAATGCGTGAGAACTAACCATCCCAGAACATAAATGTAACCTATATTAGCTATATACAGCCTATCCCTGACCCCAGTATCTCAAATTAACCATTAATCCTGATCCCTCATGTTAACCTCAGACCCCCGACCCAAAGGCCCCTAAGTAATGCAACCCGGAAAAGCCGCGGGCGGCAAGGACGGACACGACCTGACGTTTCAAAACTGGACGTAGACGGTCCCTGCCCAAGCGTTAATATGTTGACGAGTCAGACGTGAGAATGTGTTGAATATGGCTGCCTGAAATTGAGCTAAATTCGACTTGTGTGAAAATCAGAAACTTCTGCCATTTACAGGAGTTCTTTTTCAGTTTTTGCTCAATGACTATACCCTCCGCATAATTGCCACCTTAACGTGGTAGAGGGGTTTGTGTACCTCTGTGATCTCAGGGGCTATGTTACCTGGGGCATTAGCCCCTGGTAGAGTCTCCCTTGGCAAACAGGSCTCAGGGGAAGGGTCCGACAAAAAGCGATTCATAACTCTTGATGAGGAAACATCATACACATCAGGAAACCTCGCCCGGAATAGGGAAACCAGGGTGCCTCCCTGGAGCCAGGCTTGGGGAGGGAGCTCGCTGGTGAGCACCTGGTGTTCGAGCTTTGGCTCCTGGGGCTCGGCTGGGTGAAGCCCGAAAGGACTATAGGAGGTCACCTCCACGTGGACCCACCACCCGCGGGAAGGACCATTAAGGTCGAGTGCGATGCATGCCAGGCAGCAGGTGAAGGAGGGTCCCTGGCTGTGTTGATTCCTGGCGACAAAGACTGGCTCTATAGGGACATGGAACATAACTTCACTCGCAGGTAAGGAGTCGGAGCTTTTGGGTGAGGTTGAGCATTACCAGCTAGATATAGTTGGGCTCACCTCAACTCACAGCTTGGGCTCCGGAACCCAACTCCTGGAGAAGGGCTGTACTCTCTCCTACTCTGGAGTTACCCAGGGAGAGAGGCGATGGGCAGGTGTTGGGATACTCACAAGCTTCTGGCTGTGTGCTTCAGTGTTGGATTTCACTTCGGTGGATGAGAGGGTTGCCTCTATGTGGCTTTGTGCTGCAGGAGGGAAGGTTCTGACTGTTGTTTGTGCTTATGCATCAAACATCAGTTCAGGATACCCAGCCTTTTTGGAGTCCTTGGATGATGTCCTGGAAGGGGTGTCATCTGTWAACTCCCTCGTTCTGCTGGGTGACTTCAATGCCCATGTGGGCAACGATGGAGTTATCTGGAAGGGGGTGATTGGGAGGAACGGCCTCCCTGATCTGAATCCGAATGGTGTTCTGTTATTGGACTTCTGTGCCAAACACGGGTTGTCCATATCGAACACCATATTTGTGCATAGGGTGGTCCATAAGTGTACTTGGTACCAGGCCACCTTAGGCCAAAGGTCAATGATCGATTTTGTAATCGTGTCGTCAGACCTGCGGCCCTGTGTCTTGGAGACTCAGGTGAAGAGAGGGGCAGAGCTGCCAACTGATCACCACCTGGAGGTGAGTTGACTCTGGTGGCAGGGGAGTCTGCCGGACAGACCTAGTAAACACAAACATATAGTGAGGGTGAACTGGGAACATTTGGCGGAGCCCCGTCCATACGATCTTCAACTCCCACCTCCAGGAGAGTTTTTCACATGTCCCGGGGGAGATTGGGGACAAGGAATCTGAATGGGCCATGTTCAGGGCCTCCATTGCAAGTGCGGCTTCAAGGAGCTGTGACCTGAAGGTTATCTGTGCCTGTCGCGGCGGCAACCAAAGGACTGCTGGTGGACACCAGCGGTGATGAAGGCTGTCAGGCTGAAGGAGCCTTTCTGGACTTGTCTTTCCCAGAGGACTCCTGAAGCAGCTGATGGGTACAGGGTGGCAAAGAGGGTTGCAGCTTCGGTGGTTGCAGATGAAAAAACTCTGGCGWGGGAGAAATTCGAGGAGGCCATGGAGAAGGACTTTCGACTGGTCTCAAGGAGGTTCTGGCAAAGTGTTCAGCGACTCAGAAAAGGAATGCGTTCCCTGTCCCATGCTGTACTTAGCTTGGGTGGGGAACTGCTGATCAGGACTGAGGATATCGTGGGACGGTGGAACGAACACATAGAGTATCTCTTGAATCCACCCTTCAAGTCCACCTTTGAGGAGGCAGAGTCTGAAGACTCGAGGGAAGATGAGTCCATTACCATGGCAGAGGTCACCAAGGTAGTCAAAAAGCTCCTTGGTGGCAGGGCGCCAAGGGTGGATGAGATTTGCTCCAAGATGCTGAAGGCTCTGGATTTTGTGGGGCTGTCATGGTTGACAAGTCTCTTCAACATCGCATGGAGGACTGGGACAATTCCCGTGGAGTGGCAGACTGGGGTAGTGGGTACCATTTTTAAAAAGGGGGGCCAGAGAGTGCGTTCTAACTACCGTGGGATCACACTTCTCACCCTCCCTGGGAAAGTTTACTCCAGGATGTTGGAAGGAGGCTCCGATTGATTGTTGAACCTCGGATTCAGGAGCAGCAGTGTGGCTTTCAGCCTGGGCATGGAACAGTAGAACAGATCTTTACCCTTGCAAAGTTGCTAAGGGAGTTATGGGAGTTTGCTTCTCCGGTCTACTTGTGTTTTGTAGACTTGGAGAAGGCTTATGAMCATGTTCCTCRAGGAATTCTGTGGGGGGTGCTGCGGGAGTATGTCTGGGCTGCTACTAAGAGCARTCCAGTCCCTATATAACCAAAGCAGGAGCTGTGCTCACATTCTTGGCACAAAGTCGAGCTTGTTCTCAGTGCGTGTTGGACTCTGCCAGKGCTGTCTCTTGTCTCTGATCTTGTTTGTAGTGTTTATGGACAGGATCTCAAGGTGCAGTCATGGAGAGGAGGGTGTCTGGTTTGGGAACCACAGGGTCTCATCTCTGCTGTATGCAGATGATGTGGTTCTGTTGTGTTGGTATCTTCAGACCAAGACCTTCAGTGTGCACTGGGGCAGTTCAAGGCAGAGTGTGAAGCAATTGGGATAAAGGTCAGTTCCTCTAAGTCTGAGGCCATGGTTCTCAACTGGAAAAGGGTGGAATGCCCCCTCCAGGTCGGGGGAGAGTCTCTGCCTCAGGTGGAGGAGTTTAAGTATCTGGGTGTCTTGTTTACAAGTGATGGTTGGATGGAGCGGGAGATGGATCGACAGATTGGGGTTTCATCCTCAGTAAGAGGGCTTTACTTCGGTCAGTCATGGTGAAGAAAGAGCTGAGTCAAAAGGCAAAGCGCTCAATTTACTGGTCTGTCTTTGTTCCAACCCTCACCTATCATGACCGAAAGAATGAGATCCTGGATACAAGTGGCTGAAATGAGCTTCCTTCATAGGGTGGCCGGGCTCAGCCCATAGAGATAGGGTGAGAAGCTCTGTCATCTGGGAGGAGCTCAGAGTATAGCCGCTGCTCCTCCACATTGAAAGGAGTCGGGCATCTGATTAGGAAGCCTCCCGGACACCTCCCTTAAGAGGTGTTCCGGGCACGTCCCACTGGCAGGAGGCCCTGGGGAAGACCCAGGACTCACTGGAGGGATTATGTGTCCTCTCTGACCTGGGAATATCTCAGGGTCCCCCAAGACAAGCTGGAAAGTGTTGCTGGGGACAGGGATGTCTGGGGTTCTCTCCTGGACCTGTTGCCTCTGCGACCCGACCACGGATAAGCAGAAGAAGATGGAGATGGAGACTTTAGCTATAAGCTCTTATTTTATCTTATAAGAACCATGTCGACACTACTACAGATACTTTATTTTCAGTTTATAATTTCCAAATTGATCTCTTTACCAAAACAAATTTACCAAAACATCTGCATTTTTATCATCATAGATGATCACAAAAGTACAAATTATTGGACTTTTCAAGAAAATGTTTACGGATGTTGGAAATGTGGGAAGTAGGTGCATCAGTGCTTAAGATTTCTTTTTTTTTAAAAAGAGTAGTTTATACAGTTTTAGTCTCTGATTGTAACATCATATCACGTGCCCTATTATTCTTTTCTGAAAACCAGCAATATTCTAGTTTTTCATAGTCTGAACTGGAAAAACTAGATCAGTTGGTAATTTCAGTCAGGTCAGAACACCAAACAATACAACAGCTGGGAAACTCCCAGATTGTCTTTTCAAAGCTTGTCAGGTGAATGCCGTTTTTCCTTGTGACGTGTTGGAGGTGGGCTGATCTGCACAATCTTTACTATAACCAGAGCTTCATGAACTATTGTCCACACAATAGGGCAGCTCTGCTCTTTCAGAACACAGCTTCATGTTCAAACACTCCAAACAATTGACTTCAATACTCAAATTACCACATCCTTTTTTTAACCATAAGCATTTTATTTTTGAAACCTTTTTAATTAAAGCCTGACATATTTTGCTTAAGAACACACTGAGATTTGTGTTAATAAAATTACACTTGTTTACAGCAAATAATTAGACTAATTGGCATTTTATTTGTGGAAAAATCTACCTAAATAGATTCTCAAGATTTTTTGTTTCTAAAATAACTGGACTAATTAACTGGTACTTTATGTGTTTTCATCCTTGAGCTTTGCCCCCACACAATCAACATAATGAATATAATAACAAAAAGACAGAGGTCCTCTAAATTTTATGAAACAACCTCATAATTTGAGTGCAAATTCGCAACAAAGGCGTTTGGAAAAACACAACCTCAAAGTCCATAAAAGGAGATTTATTTTTAACTAAAGGCATCATGACACTTCTAATTTATTTTCTTCAAAATAAATGTAGTCACACTTCATCAAATATGCCCACATACTCCTACAGATCATTACACAAGAGGCATAAACAGTGGTTTTTGTGACAAAAAAGATCAAACGGAAACAATTTAGTAGAAAATTAGTCTTTTAGTGACTCAAACGAAGAAAAAAAGTGGATGCAGAGATACAAAAGCAGAAAAATAAAAAAAATCCTGAGAAAATGTGATTTAAACTCACAAGTGTCAATGTCAATTTTATTTATTTATGTAGCACATAAAAACAACAAAAKTTGGCCAAAGTGCTTCACAGTTAAGCCAAATGAATAAAACAATTAAGCAACACATAAATGTAGACAATAAAATCAATTTAAAATTCAGAAAAACATTAAAAACATTATCATTAAAATAATTTCAAACTCTACCAGAATGAAAGGCCAGGGAGTATAAGTGAGTTTTAAGTAGAGATTTAAAAGTCTCAACAGTCTCAGCAGCCTGTATGCTAAAAGGTAAATCATTCCAGAGTTCTGGGGCAGAGACTGCAAAGGCCCAATCACCTCTAATTTTAACCTAGGTCTAGGAATATCTAAGGTACTGGTTGGATGACCAAAGTGCTCTAACTGAAGTGTGGATGTTAATGAGATCACAAAGGTAGGATGGGGCCAGACTTTTAAAGCTTTAAAAGCAAGCAATAAAATCTTAAAATTTATCCTAAAATGAACAGGAAGCCAATGGAGAGAAGCCAAAACCGGGGATATGTGTTCGTATTTTGAGTTCCTGTTAAAAGACGAGCTGCTGCATTCTGGACAACTTGTAACAAGTCACTGAAAATATGAGGAAACTGAATATTGATGCTGCTAATACTATTACAAATATAACAAAGGCTCTGTTTGAACGTCTGAAATGTACAAACAGCATCATGTTTAGAAAAATAAATTGTGAGATACCATAAGTTTAGCAGTCCTATTTTTTATTTACTGTGGGTGTAAATACTCCCAAGTTCAGTATAGCTTTGGTGTGAGAAAAAGAAACAAACTCCAAATGCTGTGATTTTTTACCTTTTTTTGCTGTTGTTTTTAGTAAACAGACACAAACTCTGCTTGAAGACAGGAAATCAAAGCACCAGCATTGGGGAGATCCTAAGGCTGCAGGTCATGTAAAGCAGGGCAGGATTTGTCACCAGGTAACTTCAAAACCAGGGAGTGTTTCAACTAATTTCACCTGTACTTGATGCAAAACAGAACAGAGAAACATTTCTTAAAGTGGAAACACAGAGATTTGTTAAGAGTGAGTGCAATAAAGAAGCTTGCCCTGATTAGTTGATAACACATACACACTTTAAAAAATTAAGATACACAAATATATCTAAAAAGGTACACTTGCTTGTTGCTCCAGCCGTACTTCAAAAGGTAAAGGAGTGTTACATTTTTATCCCTTCAAGATTACCTCATGTACCTTTGTTTTTTACTGTGCACCTCTTGCCTTGCACAGTTTTTGTTAACACAGCTGATTTAACTCAGACAGATCTTCAAGGTTCTCTATGATACAGTCATTTGTGTTTGGTTTGACATAAAGTGTTTTGATAGTATCTTTTCTTGCATCTTTTCTGCCGAGGCTGCTATCATAGTGCAGAAAAGAAACAGTGTGCCTGCTTCTAGATGAAAGCAGTGATCAGCTGGGACTTATGCATTCGCTGTTTTATTCGTGTATCCTTCCAAAATGTCTGTGACGAACTGTCAGGGAACAGGAACATGTACTGTTAGCCCCCTAATATTTAACAGATGCTGGTTTGTAATCAGTAACCTCTTTCAGTTGTGTATTAAAGAACCACCTTTAAAAACAGAGCCACATCAGCATTTTGCCTGTACCAAAAATATGTAGTGAAACTGTGTTTTTCTGGCTGAAACGAGGCTGATCCCTGATGTGATGGTATCCCGGACAACACCCCAAACAAAAAATAAAAATAAATTAATTAATTAACTAAAATAAAAATAAAAACAGTTTGGGATAAACTAAAATGAAATGAGCTCTGAAAGGAGGTTTTGACAAACGATAGCATAAGTTGATTACAGTTTGATATTTTCCAGTATTTGATACAGTGACCCCAAAAAGTTAAATATGGTCAAGTTTACTTTTTAATCATTCAGAATGAATTCAATATCGGATCACAAATGAGTTTTTTTCTTCTTACTGTAATACAGCAAATTGAAAACCCACATTAGTTTTGTCTCTGACTCAGTCTGCTTTCTGCCCGGCTGTAAAACCAGCCCACTTCAGTCTGATCTGAACACTATGATGTTCATTTCATCACAGACACCAGTCATGTGACAAACTTGTCAAGGGATGCTCCCTCTCCTCACCTTCCTCTGGTTTCTGAGGGTCAGCCTGCACTCGTTCAGCTGGGGGAGTCAAGGCACCTCAGGTGGCCAGCTTCTCTGAATGACTCTTTAGCTTGTGGAATTTCACACTGTCCAGCTTCTCGAACCTCTTGTTGCAGAACTCACAGGTGTAGTTGTAGTGGGCCTCAGGAGTGTGCTTCTTCATGTGCCAGTTCAGGGAGGCTCGCTGGCGACACTGGTAGCCGCAGATTTCACATCTGACAGACAACAGATGGTGTCAAAAAAAAATCATAAAAAAATCTAAACATATACATTACAGTGCAGCCTTGAGCCTGATACCCAGCCACTTCCACTTTAATTGACACCTTCATGCATGTGACCAAAACATCTCTCTTTTGAGCTAGGTAAACAAAAACCCTAAAGCCTCTCCATTATGAGAGGCATATAGCTTAATCTGAGTTTTATATGCATTTAAGACTGAAATACTGCAAAGATGCCAGCGTCTGCTGCAAAGCAGGAGGAAAGTAAAACGGGCGATGTGGAGAACGTTTTAGTAACATAAGTTGAAAGATTGTTATTTGATGTAATTTATGTTTTTTAATGTCCTACAGGCTCTTACATGTTGAATAACTTTGAAGCTGAGCTTTTGAAAAAACTCGAAAAACTTCAAAAAATCCGTGAGATAGCTCTATACATCCGTATGTTGGCAAAATGATGGAAAATCTGTGTAAATTACAAAAAATCTGTAAAACTTGACATGTATGTTTTTTAACCTTTTTTAATTGGTATTACCAACTGCAGTAGCTTCAAAAACTAATAACTATTGTACCTAAAAGTGCCTGTGATGTACATATCCTTATCCTTCAAATAAAAAAGTCAAAGAAAACATCTTGACAAACTTGATATAATACACACGATTTTACCCATTTTGTCACATAACTGGCCTATTTTCTTTCAAATTTGGCTCAGCCACAGCGAAACAGGAAGTGACTTCAAAGGGGAACTCTAGGAAAAAGAACTTCCTGGTCTTTGTTTAATAAAACAAATTTATTTGAACCGTCGAGTATTTCATTTGAAAGACGAAGTACTCTACTTCATCTTTCTCTGATAGTGACTCAAAATAATCTAAAGAAACATCAGATTCCTTTCTACAGACTGTGTTGTCAGCCATGGCAGCAACTCTCTGCTCACATGCAGACATTCCCCTTTGACATCACTTCCTGTTACTTCACATGTGAATATCTCAATAACTGTTCATCTCAGCAGCATGAAATTAATTTTGCAATATGTTGTTAATGTTAGCTTTCCAAAAATAAATTTATATGTATTACAAAAATTTGATGTCACAGGCACTTTAAGGATGGTGTATGCATTTTTTTGACAGATGAGTTAAAAGTTAGTTCACTTCAATATCGACTGATATGAACTAAGGAGTAAACTTTGTCTGCAGCCAGGAGAGGGTGCTCTGGGCTTGTGACTATGTTGTTTCTGTACAGGTTAAAAATATATATGCAGCTCAAATTGGTAATCCAGCAGAAGAAAGAAAATTTGGAGTGAATGGGAAACCTGTGAGAGGCTGGAAAAAAGCAGAGGTTGTCTTACTGCAATGAAGAAAATGAAGAAACATGATGTGGAATGAGATTGGTGAACTTACCGGTTACTGGATTGTTGGAAGGTCGTTTTGTTTTATTTGCGACAACAATGATGGACGACACCAAACTCGAAGGAAAAGTAGCAAAAACGGTACCAGACCAACCCAAGTAGGGGTCTGCAGTACATATTGTTCTGTGGGCGGAGTTTACCCTAACCGTGATTGGCAGAGGTCTTGTCGTGGGCGGAGTTTGCCCTAACTATGATTGGTCGGATTGACTTACCATGTGGGGCAACTTAAAAGAGGAAGTAATGGTAAGAGTAAAATAAAATAATTGACTGTCAATGTACAGTTTAAAACAGAACAATAACAAAAAAAAATTTGTGAACATGTAAACATAATTTATTGACTTCAAATTTTGTACAGCTAGGACCTTCCTGTCTCAAGTTATGACTAATATTAAGTCATATTCATCCTTTTACAGGCTGGTTAGGGCTGTTTTGACTGAGCCGAACTGACAAGTCTCACCRCACGTACAGCATTCAAATTTCCGTGCAGCTAGCACCTTCCTGTCTCAAGTTGTGACTAAAATTAATATTTATGTTTAAAAAAAATACAGGCGCTTCCTGGCTGTTTCAACCAAGCTATTCTCAGCTTCTTTAAACCCCACTGTCAAACAGATCAATCATGTCTTGGGCAAACTCCTCCCACAAAACAAGAAACTCTTACTTAGTGACTGCAGAGAACCAACCAGCAAGTGATGACGAGAAGGCAGACACAGAGGATGGTAAGCTAATGTTAGCTTGTTGTTGTTTKTTGTGGTTGTTGTTCAGTTGAACTTGTGTGAAAAAGAACATCAAAGTCGTAAATGATTCACGTAAAGTTAATCTCATCTGGGTAATCTGTCTATCAGGGGTGGGCAATCCTGGTCCTAGAAGGCCGCCCGCTATCCTGCATGTTTTGGAGTTTCTCTGCTCCAACACACCTGAATCGAATGAATGGATGGTTACCAAGATTAGGCASAACTTGAGAAGGATATTCAATCAATGAATCTGGTTTGTTGAATCAGAGGAACAAGTAATACATGCATGACAGCAGCCCTCGAGGACCAGGATTACTTACCCCTGGTCTACAGTATGTTAATTAAGGTTATCAAGGCATCCCAGGAGCTGTGCTCTATTATTCCAGAATAAAAGTCTGATTTGATGCAACTTGGATAGTTTTTTTTTCCACTTCACAATGCATTTTTTGACTGATGCAACTCGTACTCTKGAGCGACTTATAGTTTGGAACATACAGTACACTATTTTTTATACAGTACACTATATTTTACCTGGATTACTGAGATGCATCAGGATACAGTACACTATTGTTTCAGTGCCAATTTAAGAAATTATGGGCTGTGTGAAACATCGAAAATAAAAAAAAGATTATTTTGCCCCATAATAGTTAATTTCTTAATATAAACTGTTGCAGACAACACAAACTAGTTGGGATGTAAAAGCTTTTACAYCTTGCAGCAGAGATTTACTGATTTCTACCCAACCAGAATCATCATCAGGTCAAAACAYGATGGTGTCAAATCATTTTTAACTTGACACAAATAAATAATACCTGTAGCAAGAAGTCCAGCAGCATTTGTTTCATTTTTGTTACAGGTTTCTGAGCCCTGCAGCTTCCCACAGTAAAGCTTTACCAACACTTTAATATTTCTATTCCATTTTTACAACTTTAACAGATGTTCTGAAGTTCAGAAGAACAGAGAGATGAGCCCTTTTAGGTGAACAGAAGTAAAAACGGTAACATCTGAGTGTAACAGGGATAACTCACTGGAGCGGTGTTTCTCCTGTGTGAGTCCGTCGATGAACCTCCAGATGATTCTTACGCTTAAATGATTTCCCACACGTCTCGCAGATGAAATCTCTAACTCCTATAAAAAGACCCACTTTTAGATTTCATGATCTCCTAGGATCTCATCTTTGACATGYTGTGTGCATCTCTCAGAGCCCACCTGAGTGGATGATCATGTGGCGGTGCAGATGGTTGGACAGGTAGAATTTTTTGCCACAACCGGGGTGAGAGCACACTTTGGTCCTTCCTTTCCTGTGAACTAGATTCACGTGATTCTACAGACAACAGATGGGATTTTAAGTCATCTCGTCACAAAACGTTAAATCTGGAAAGACTGAAAGCGGTGACGTTACCTGAAAGCTGCTGATTGCTACGTAGACTTGACTGCAGCCTTCRTACGGACAGTGAAACATCTTGAGCATGCCATCTGCCTCAATAACTGGGCCTCGTCTGCTTCTCCTTGACCTGACGCTGCGTTAGTAGTTGAAAAGATTAGAGCATCTTGTGAGGATATCGGTTGATCTGGTAGATTTTAGAAGAATTAAATCAATGTGTGCCACATACCTGCTCAGACTCAGTTCTTGGTTACTGCTCGGCTCCACGGCGGGCTGCTCCATCTGGGTGTCACTCAAACCTACAGAGAAACTGAGATTAGACAAATGTTTCACGGGCTCCTGAAACTGGATCTGAGACGCCTTCTGGCTGTCTTGAAGGACGAGGTGGCACAAGGGGTTGAAGTGAACCTGCTGCTGTCACRCCCAGAATTCAGAACAGGAGGTGGCCTTCCACGCTCCCTATGATTACACAACAATCACTGCATTTTGAAAGCCAACATCTTCGCAGGGCTTTCCAAGCTCAACTGGTGATTTACAGGCAGCCAAAAGCAGCTTTATGAGAGGCTACAGACAGGTGGGGATTTGGATCCAACATCATGTTGTTATCAATGGATGGAAAGTCCAATGTTAGMCTCATGAAAACTCCTTGGTCTTCCTCATGTCTCTTGCTTGGTGGTAGCTCTGAAAGGGTTGAACTGGTGTTGATCCTGAGGACTGTCTGATCAGGTCTATACTTATTAGGGCTGGGCATACTTAACAACCTCACAATTCAATTTGATAGCAATTGTTTGGGTCACAATTTGTTTTGATTTTTATTTGATTTCATATTCCTTTAAACGCTTCAATWTCAAATTCATAATAAGTGCACAAATAATTCATTCGATTCTCTGTGGATGCTTATTTTCCAGCCCATACAAACAGAAATGGTATACATTAACCTCTTTTTTGGAAATAAAATGTCTGAAAATAAAGCAGTAGCCCAATAATACTGATTCTAAATATGAAGTGCAAACACAAAACATGACAAACTGGCGAGGGGGTCAAATAGATTATGAGGATTTTCTAACTTAATATTGAATTAGAAAAAATATATTGCAATGCATTGATGAATGGATATTTTTTACCCACCCCTAATATCTTAGATTGTTATGGAAATATTTATTTATCAAAGACAGAAATACATGGTCCAAGAATGAAGGTACTCTGTGGAATGATCAGCTGAGTTTTATTGCCACAACAGGAACACAGAGAAAAACATAGAGCCATTGAACTGTCCCCCTGCTCTCTGCCCTGTCTCTGTGCTTCTCTGCTTCTCCTGAGGCAGTTGAGGCCTCATTTATACTGTTTAACAAACACTATTATGTCGTCTTAATAAAGCAAGATTTCRTCCTAAGGAAATACTAGTTCAAGGGAAAACACAACGATAAACACAAGTGATATCTAAGAATGATTGTTGTTACAAATCTTGTTCAGACTTTAATCATTCTATCTGCTGATAACCGTTTGTTAGTGCAGTTTCTGCCCTTATAATCGACCTAATCTGTAAGGGTGTATTCAGACCAGGAAAGTCCTTTGGTCCAATTGTTTGGTCCGGACCAAAAGCAGACTATTTTTTTTCGTTTGGTTCGGTTTGCATTCACATTGCGCTTTTTTGCAAATGAACTATAACTTGTAAACAAAGCCACGAGTGTGACGATCATTGCTCCCATTGGACAAAAAAAGGACGG